CTTGCTTCATAGCAAAGAACTTTTGATTGGCTTCCCAGAAATCCAAGAAGTCATACTCAGCATCAGCACTCTTCTTCATGAATCGTTCAATACGTTTCAAGAGTTCAATTGGATCTTCAAGAGTAGTAGTCATGAAATCGGCTTCACCTCGAAGCTTGATATCCATCGCTTTTGTCACAAACTTAAGCATGATGTTTGACTTCACAGTTCGCTTGTTTGTTTCGAAGTAGGCTGATTTTCGCATGTTCTCCTCGTGCTTTGCAGAATAGAGAATCTTGTTTTGGGCCATCTCTGTTTCTCTTGCAACAGCTTCAGTTTGAGTTGGAGCATTCAATCTTGGAGCGATTGCATTGTAGTCGATCGACTTTCCATCTCGAATCGATTTCACCATGTCTTTGGAGCATTTCATTCCAGAAGCTTGGATGTAATCAATCACTCTTTCTTTGGCATCTTCGTACGACAATCTTGCCCTTCCATCGTTTTCATCTTTAGTTGAAAATAGATGTTTCACAACTGTTGAACTCAAATTGCTCTTGACTTTCTGACGATTCACACGTCCTTTTCCTCCACCAGATGAAGAATGTCCCATAGTTAACAAATCACTCACTCCTTTGTAGATAAGGCAGTGCTGTTCTTGACGTAAATTGGTTTTGTTGCCTTTTGCGAGCAACCTGAAAGCGATATTGAAGAATTAAAAGATATGATTGATGAAGTAGCCCATGAGTTGGATAGATTGAGCCAACCCATTGAAGAAGAAATAATGTTCAGCGTTGAAGATGAGGACGATGACTATGAGGGTGAATATGATGCGGAAGAAATACAAGAACTGCAAGAAGCAGAAGACGAACCGCAAGTATATCCTGACGAAGAAGCTGATGTTTGTGCAGGAGTGAGGTTTGAAGAAGTCCCCGTGTTGAATACAACAGATGATTCAAATAAAGACAAAAAAAGGAGAACACAAAGTGGACGATCATTTTATTCAAAAGGAGTCAAGTATTGACCCACAGATAGGAATCGAACTGACAGACCAAGACATGGACAAACGTACTTACAACAAAAGAAGCCCAAGATCAATTTGTTAAAGAACAGGAGTGCCACGAGAAAGAAGGTACGGTTGAAGAGATTACATATCTCAATATACCAGACTATCGCGTCAAAGGTAAAATAACGAAAGAAAGGAGAGTTTTGAGATGACAACGTGTTGAGCGCTGAAGCAAGAAGAAAGATTACTGAACGGGCGCATAACTTAATGTTCCAACAGAGTGGAACTGAGAAGAAAGCGACTTACAATGTGGATGAGTCGTTGGTGATTTTGCGCGTCATGCAACAGATTTGTGATGAAGTGTACACAAGGTATGGAGTGTCATTTATTCAGCAGTATTATCTTAACAAAGGATTGAAAATTTTCAAAGAACGAGGAAAAGAAGCTGCGCTCAAGGAACTTGATCAACTGATCAAACAAAGTTGTTGGACACCCATCAGTATTGGTGAATTGACTGAGTCCGAGAAGAGGAAAGCAGTCGATGCAATGATGTTACTGGCAGAGAAAAAACAGTGGTGATATCAAAGGTCGTTTTGTATATAAAGGAAACAAGACAAGAGACTGGCTGTCTCAAGAGGACACAGCTAGCCCGACCGCATCGCATGAAGGTATCTGTTGCATAGGAGTGATTGACGCGCACGAAGGTAGATGCATGATGTCAATGGACATTCCGAATGCATTCATTCAGACCTTTGATGCCAGATTTAGGTGATGGAGAAGATCGGGTGATCATGAAGGTAACTGGACTGATGGTTCAATATATGATCGATTTGGACCTGACCTATTGCGATTATGTTGTTTATGAGAATGGCAAGAGAGTGATCTATGTTGTGATCCTTTGTGCCATATATGGGATGTTGCAGGCATCGTTGCTGTGGTATCGAAATTTGAGAGCTTCTCTAGAGGAGTATGGCTTTGTTTTTAATCGATATGATCCCTGCATTGCCAACAGAATGGTTAATGGCAAACAATTGACAATCAGGTTCCATGTTGAT